TAAACATTTCTACAATATATACACATATACACAATAACAGCAGCTGTACAAGTATTAACTGGAAATGAGGAATATAATGTCCAGTGTTGTGCAATCCACATTATTTAGTGTCTTGTGCAGTGCAAATATACTATAGTCTTATTCAAAATATATTCTGTATATTCTATATTTGCTTAAATCCCAAATATGTATTTGTTAACAATTTTTTAATTGACTGAGATACAGTTTAAACTACATTTTCTTTAACTTTAATTAGACTCAAGAGAATCTGATTTAGGGCTGGCTCAAAACAAAAACCTGCTTTGTTATCTTATATGCAATGTTTTTCCAAACAAAGGAATATCCTGCTAGTGTTGTAGCTTAGCTTGTACTTGTCTGCTGTCTGGAGGCAGAAGGGTTGCATGTCTAATCTGCTAACAATAAATAACTTTATCAGGGATAAATATGCGTGTTTATGCATATTTGTGTGTTTGAGCCTTGTTCAAAACATGAAGCTTGAGGTGTGAAGGACGATTAGGATGTTGGTGGTCTTCTCTCACCCTTCTGTTTGATCTTTAATATATTGAGTCTGTTCTGTTCTTTAAAATAAATACAACCTGTAGCCACTGCTAACATGTTTCCTTACATATCGTAACGCACTCGATTACAAGTTAGTTGATTGTTGTGTTATCAGTGTTATTGTGTTCACATTGCCACTCACTTATGGCATAGCTGCTCCACAGTCTAGAGGTCGTTAAGCCTATCAGTCATATCAGCTAACTATGACAGAGTAGGAGAGCCTGCTTGTGGTTGGCTGAGAGCATTTGGGGAGTGGGAGCATACTTGCCAACCTTGAGACCTCATAATTAGGGAGACATTCAAAAGGGCTGTTGGGGGGGGGGATTACATCACAAGCTCTCTCGGTGGAGTGGAACTCAGCCATCTGCTCCTTGCTATCTAACATATAACCGGACGCTGGAGTAAATTCTCGACCATCTCACACTTCATCCATGGAAGCCATGACAGTGGGATTAAGGAGGTCCTCAAAATATTCTTTCCATCGCCTGAATATTTTCATTGAAGTCTCGCAGTAGGAACACAGAGAGTCCCCAGGTGGAGCACCCTCTACCACCCCACCTAGGGACTCCAAGATGCTGGGTACTCTCAACCGCCACTTGGTGCATAAGTGCAGACGATGGTCAGGACCAGTTCCCCGACCCGAAGGGAACGAACCCTCTCGTCCACTTGAAGAAAGCCCAATGTACGGACAGGAAGCCGAGGAGATACTAGGATACCCACTCCAGTCCACCACCTCTCTCCAGGAGACTGGTTCTAAAGCCCAAGCCGTGCATTTAGGTGAGCCCAACTATATCGAGCTGGTACCTCTCAACCTCACACACTAACTCAGGCTCTGTCCCCATCAGAGAGGTAAAATTCAATTTCCCAATTGCCAGTCTTGGTATCCAGGGATCAGTCCGCCAGGGCCTCTGCTCCTGACCACCGCCCAGCTCACAATGCACCCATGACCCCTACGGTGCCTCCTGCGGGTGGTGGACCTGCAGGAAGATGGGCCCATGTCCTTTTTTCGGGCTGTGCCTGGCCAAGCCCCATGGACTAAGGCCTGGCTTGCCCTTGCCCCAGTAACCCTATCATGGGCAGGGTGAACTGTTCCCTAAGTGTTCTTCTCATAGGGGCCTTCTGAATCACTCTGTGTCTGATCTAATCCCTCACCCAGGAGACCCTAGGTGAGGGATTTCCAGGTCCGTCGAGGCCTGTGTATTTTAGCTCTGTGTTTGCCTTTGCTCAGTGTCGTGTTGTACCATCAGATTTTGCCTGTGTGTTCTAGTTTGTGTTTTTCCCTGGTTTGATTTCTGTTTTCTGTAGTCAGTATTCAGTTCATGTTTTGTTTATCGCCAGCAATAAAGCTATGGTTTTCAGTTGCAATTTGGTCTCTGCGAGTCCTGCTTTTGGATCCTCACCTCTGCCTACCCGCGCACAGAGCCCTGACAGAATGAAAAGGAAATTAACAAAACAAAGGAAAAGGCCAAGCAGATGGTCAGAACACCTATGGATTTGAAGACTAAGATAAAAACATGCAGTAGCAGCAGCACTGGCATCACAACAACAGCTGAATCTACCAGGTCTTTGGGGGCCGCCTCCAAACCAGCCCACAATGGATTATCAGCGAATACCATTGCGAGGAAGATGAACTAATGATTTTATATGTTATTACAAATGACTTTCATTTGTAATAATTATTAGGCTGTTAATCATCAGCCTAATAATTAGGTCTGATCTTGTCATATTTCCTTGACCTGACTGTCTCATTAATGCTGTTGTTACTGAACATCACCAGCAAATGCTATTGTATCATTACTGAGATAAATCATGATGTGTAAAGAATTAAAAGGTTTACACTGCATGATTGCTTTGCACATGAGTCACACCCCTGCTAAATGTTATATTCTGAGTTCTTTGTTTTCAGAGCGTCCAACATGACCACACCACCTGACTAAATGCCAAAGGAGGGTAATTACACATGTTTACTATAATGCAACAGAGGCAGGTGGAGTGCAGCAAAGCTTTCATGGTTTAATAAAATAATAAACATTGTGAATTGGTTCAATACCAGATACCTATTTCCAAGTCTGACCTATTGTGGTTCTGTGGAGGAAAAGACTTGGATTTCCTGCCTCGGATGTGGTCAGGAACCTGTACAATGGTAAGACTACTGCTTCCAGTGACTGTAATAGGGGACTGGTCGAACCTAACTCCAATACTTTTGTGGTTAAGATGATTCCTCAATTTTAATATTGATTTCATAAAGATTGTGATACAAATTGGTGTTATTGAAGTTCTAAGATGTGTGTCTAATGAGCATGTGTTACCTAATTAAATTGTAAACGTGTTTACATTCATCCTGTTGGGGAATCCCTGATAAAATGTGGACCACACTATAATACCCAATTGGCTAACTTAATCTGATGATAACATTGCAGGTCCATTTGAAAAATTTGTTTTCAAGTCACTGAGGGTGGTATAGAACAGGAAGTCCTTAGACTTCCCCTCTCCGCTCTTGGCGTGTTTGGTATTGTGTGCTGCACTCTCATTCTTAAAAACATAGCTTCAGATGCCATTGTTAGAGTATGGCAGAGGACCTGAAAAGTGAAGATGACAGTCAAGGAAGCCAGAAGGAAGGTACTGAGAAACTTCTTTCCATGGGTTATACGTTTTTTGTTCTTTTTCCCTCCAACAGTCAGGTCATCAGGCTTGTCCAGAGGACCTCATTTTACACTCTCCCGATGGGAAAGGATGATGGCCTGTAAGGTCCACTAACTTTTATTAGAAGAGTGACAGATTTTTCTCACCTTCTGGGGACTTCTGAAACAGGTTTAAGAGAGGAAGACCACTCTGGTCCAATATCACACTGATACCAAGAAAGGACATGAGGCTTTAAGCTGGATTATGGATTTACATGTTAAAAGGTGTGAAAGTAGAGATTTGTTTTAATTTTTTTAAACAAATTTTTAATATTTGTGTGCCCCATTGTCTTACATATTACAATTACCTCACAATTTTTATCACGCACTTATATTTTATCTAAAATAACACATTTATATCTTATCTTTTATTACACAAATAGGTGTTGTAGAATAGAGTGTTGAAAAGATAATGTCACGCCCATCCAAAACCAGACTGCTTAAAAAATACCACAAGGAATAAGTTCTCTGTTTAGACAGTGGGTGGTTGTTTATCTGTTCTTCTCATTGCAGAAGGAGATATCCATACCAGGGGGTAAGGTGATCCATGGAATGGACCCAAGGCAAATAATGGGAAACAAGTCCACGACCACAACCTCCCCTGAAAAATTTTGGCCAAACAAATTAACATTTTGTTTTTATATCTCATAATAAAAGTGTTTACTACCTGGGTGCTCTTTATTTGTACAGATTGCTGAGCTGTCTTCTCTCATAAGATGAACCCAACAATAGTGAGAACTGTGCACTATGAATTAAGTGTGTGTCAATCATAATATACTCAATAAAATTTCTTTTATTGAATCATAAATGTTAAAGTCAGGTATTGTCTGAATGTTTGCTTAGTCATTCTGACCACACACTAAACACCTCAGACAAGATCTGAGCAATGTGCTATGTTTGCATTCTCTGCTGGTACAAAAAAACCCAGCACAGAAGCACACACACACAAACTTAATATTTTAGTTAAATAACTTATTTATTTTAAAGATGGCGATCATGGAGCACCCTTCCCCATCATGTTCTTTTTCGTGTTCCTTTCTGGTTTCAGTAAGATGATATAACACTTTGGGAAAAAAATGCAAATCAGTAGTCCAAAGCTGGAGGCAAGAATAGCAAATATTTCTACAGCAACACTGAACTTCCCCGGAGAGCTGACATATGCTGGAATAAATGTAATCCACACTGCACAGAATATTAGCATGCTAAAGGTAATAAACTTGGCTTCATTGAAATTATCAGGCAGTTTTCGAGCTAGAAAAGCAAAAATGAAACATAAGACAGACAAAAGTCCTATGTAGCCAAGCACAGCCCAGTAGCCCACAGATGTGCCCAGAGCACACTCTAAGGTGATCTTGTCTTTAAATTCCTTAAAGTTTTTAAATGGAAAAGGAGGCGAAACTGTTAACCAAATTATACACATGATAAGTTGTATAAGAGTAAAGCTTGTAACACAGAGTCTCTGCTGTGTAGGTCCAAACCATTTCTGAACATTACTACCTGGACGTGTTGCCCGGAAAGCCATCAAAACAACCATTGTTTTCCCCAGAACACAAGAGATGCAGAGCACAAAGGTGATCCCAAAAGCTACATGTCGCAGCATGCAAGACCATTCAGAGGGCTGACCAATGAATGTCAGAGAACACAGGAAACAAAAAGTCAAAGAGAAGAGCAGCAGGAAGCTCAGCTCAGAATTGTTTGCCCTCACAATAGGAGTTTTCCTGTATTTGAAGAATATTAATGCCACACCGGTAGTCATGCATGTTCCAAATAAAGATGCAGCAGTCAGGAGTGCTCCCATAATTTCTTCATATGACAGAAACACTGCTTCCTTCTTTATGCACGTGTCTCTTCTTTCATTTGACCAAAATTCAGGGGGACATCTCAAACAGGTAACAGAATCTGCAAATTAATGTTAATACAATGTTAGAATTCTGGAGATTTATTAGATTTATGCATTTGAATCTACTTTACAGCATATTATACTCACTAGCACACTAACTATTACTCTACATTGGTCAGGCTACTGCTAATGCTACACAATGAGAAGATGAGAAAAAATGTGTTGACAATGCTTTTGCACAGTCAATATGAGAAATGGTAAATAAGTAACTTCAAACATCGTTGGTCATTTTTCAGTAAAACTGACACTGATTCTGAACAAACTGCAGCAACAAGAAATTACATGCTGTGGTATAAAGCAACTGGTGCTGGAACAACAGCGAAAGTTATGATAGATACGGCAGGTTTTGAAGCAGGGAGTGTGCTCATATTATTCACAGTAGGCTGAAACAGCCCCATATTTCACTCTTCATTTGCTTTATGTATAGAAAAAAAGAGCATAATTATTAACATTTCTAAGGAGTTTCCTCAATGTTGCGAAAGAATGAAAAAATATGCTGGAACATGAACAGTAATATTGCTTGTAATTCATTAAAGTTCTAAAGTTTTTATTGAAATATTACCACACCTGTAATGTTGCTTATCTCTCCCTCTGCACATCTTATACAGTCATAGCAGCAAACAGGCCTTCCTTTCTGGAGAACCTTGCGTGTTCCTGGGGGACATTTCTCACTGCAAACTGACACAGGCACCTGTATGAATAAATATTATAAAATAATAACCATGGATAAACTGCATGTATGATGATTTTTACAATCATTTCTTAATTTTATATGCATGAAATTCAAATGTTTTAAAATAATAATACCTGGTTATAATTAATTCTTTATTCCTAATAAGCTTATTATTTGTATTCATTGTTTATTGATCACTCACCTGCTTTGAGTTTCTTGCCCAGATTAAAGAGTTATTTTGCAGAGTCAGCTGTTTGCCTGGAGGAAGTGATGCATCATAAAGACCAACTGTCACAAACTCCACAATGCCGTTTTTTCTTGGCTGCCAGTTTATAATTTCATACTTTGCTGCTGGATCTCCATTCTCATCAAAGTAAACCTCATCTCCTTCTTTTGTTTTGAAGTAAATTTTTAGAATGCGCTGCAAAATCTAAAAACATATGTAATAAGGCAGTTAATATACTGAAGAACATTTAATAGATCCACTGGCTTAATGACATGATCAACATATGTTGTCTTCAAATTTAAACAATTCTTCTTGTAACTCGATTTGAACAATATAATTGTAGATAGGCTCACCATTAATGGATCTAGCTGCACATTTTTCTCACATGTTTTATTACAATTAAGGATATTGTGAAGGGCATGGGCCACTGCATACACTCCTTTATATACATTGTTAAACATAGGCATGAGTGACATGTCAGTGAAGCTATTTTGAACTCCAGTAAGATCTTCATGTCCGGTACACTCTCTTGGATTTTCTGCTGTTGACTTCAACTCCTTGAACTTACAACTAAATAGTGTCTCCCAGAACTCAGTAAACAAATCATTATTAGATGAATTAAGAAGTTTCACATTCAGCATGAACTCCTTCAGGCCAGTGACGTGTGCTTTGGGAATGTAAAGACCTATGGCACCATCCAGTATGTGATGTATATCCATTTTTGCGGTTTGTGAATCAAATATCCAAGACTCACTGCCTACCCACTGATACCCAGTCAGATTGTTGAGAGAAAACTCATGTAATAGCACATCCATATCAAAGTGGGACAGAAAGCCAACAATCACCTTGGAGGTTGAAGCTTTTATAATGTCAATGATCTTTTGAATTTTTTCATATGGATCTGTCCTAAAAAAAGATACAGAATATTCCAGACAGATGCCCAGCTGCTGTGCAGTTTCTGTGAATGTTGCCATGCCTTTATTTCCATAATCATCATTGGTTCGAATGGCTCCAACCCAAGTCCATCCAAAGTACTTTACTAAATAGACCAGGGCTCTGCTCTGGTAGTAGTCACTGGGTATTGTTCTGAGGAAGGATGGGTACTTGGTTTTGTCACTGAGACAAGCACATGTGGCCAAATGGCTGATCTAAGAGGGGAAAAAAAGGCCATGAAAAAGACAAAGAACAAGATAAAATTTAAGATGTTACAAGGAATAATAATGATTATAGTCACACTGACCATTAAAAATAAAAAAACATTTTTTGCACACATCCACATTTAATTTCAGTTTTCACTGTGTTAAGCACATTATATCCCTGCAAAGAGGCCTATCTAAAATGGAAAAATACAAAGAAATCAGAACTTTTAAAGAGTCACATTTGTGTTTTCAGAAAAAAATATTTTTAGCTATCCTACCCACCATTGGTATATTAAATGGCCCAATTACGGTAGCTATTGCCATGCAAGGAGAGGAAGAAGTCTCTCCAATTATAGCCTGCACTTGTGCTGGTTTGGTACAAGGGGCCTCAGGTGCTGTGAAAATAATTTGATTACCATTCATCAAGGCTAGTGCAACTTTTATGCTTTGGGCAATGGAACCACAAGTATCATACATTTTATAGCCCAGAGAGACTCCTGGCAGTAGGTCTGTACTGTTATTAATCTCCTCGATGGCAAAAAGCATAGCCTGGGCGACCCGGAATTCTCTGGAATTCAAACTTCATTCAAACAGTGAAAAAGTTGACAATAGATCACTAACACATAAGATACTGAAATCAGTCAGTTATATTAATGAAGAAAAACAAGAGAAAGTAAGAGAAAAAAGTTTTTCATCTTAGATCATTTATCCATATTAAATTTATTTTTATAATGTTATTTACCTCGTGCATTGAAGTGGCAGTGGTTTCTGTATGTAGGTATCCTTTCGGTCATTCCAGCTACTGTGAAAAGAGAACATCCCCCCCAATATAATGTCCCCATCCCTAGATAACTGGGGATTCTCAGTATCCCCTCTTTGCATGCACACAGGTTCTTTTGCCTGAGAGAAAAAAGCCACCAGTAACAGTTGGAAAAGTGCCCACCCCAATTCTGGCCACTTCTGTGTAAATGACATGCTGTCTGTAAAAACTGAACCACTGGGTGGCATTGCAAGTAACCTAGTCTAAGTGAAACATGCAGACTTTATTTATACATTTTGAAGCAGCAAAAATGAATAACAGAACCATCATGCTTCTTCTATGTGGAAGGAAAAGGAGGGGCCAGAGGAGTGGCGCTGCAACACACTACACTACTCTACAATATCATTATTGATTGAATCAGATGCAATATAACATTTATAGTTTCAATAGGTCAGGGGTCGGCAACATGTGGCTCTTTTGTCCTTATACTGCGGCTCCCGGTGGTTTGGTAAAATAAATTAGAACTATTTAGCTGAAGTGTATTTTATTTGTGTTTAGTTCTTTTTTTAACTTGTAGTTCTAAATTGGAAGATTATTGTGATTTTGAAATATAAAAATAAAATTATATTATACCATTTTTTCACCGCTCAAAATAAGCATCACACTCGCGGAAGCTGGTGTACCCGCCAAAACGCCATGCATTTATCGAGACTTTCGATCCCAGGTAGGCCAGTTATTACCTTATGTCAGCAGCTCCACCATGAACTATGTTAAAACAAACACCGCTCACGCCTCACAGATGACAGCTTACAGTCCTAACGTAAAGATGAAAGCCCCGATTTGCAGATGCTGCGCACAGGTTCGGGACCATAAGTCTTATTGTAAACATATCACGGCAGACCCGACGATGTTTGCATAAACATGCTTTTCAGCATCTCTTTATTGACCACTTTTCACACACGGTTGCTGTACGCATACAGCCGGCTGTTGCTTTTCAGCTCACAGCCCGACAACACAACAGCAGGGGCTGTGTCCCATTTCAGAGTCTGCACGCTTGAAGTACGCATTTTAAGTGCAGTTACGTCACCGCCACGTGACGACGGCTGTCCCAATTCGAAGTGTACTTCAAATGCATACTCCAAATGCGCCGTCGATTTCCCCAAATATCAAGCGTGGTCCGGTGCACGCTTCGTGGTCCCATATATCCCACAATTCATAGCGCAGCGGTGGGTGTGGATAATTTTGCCGCAAGAAGGGAGCGGCCGAAGAGTGAACTGTCAAAAGCAAGTACTGAATATGACGTCACTTCATTCATGTGCGAATGTTTAATAACGAAGAACATTAAAACATTGCTGTTGGCCACATGCCGGCAAAGTT